AACGTATAAAAAAAAATCATTAATAAATTGTGTAACGATCTACAAACTCGGGGCACTCGGGACGTTCCTACCTCGAAATGCCTTATAGTGCCGTACCGGTACATTCCAGCCGTATTCAAAAATAGAAAGTCGTAAATCAGAATGATAATCATTAACTGGCATAATGATTGATTTTTACTGTTTTGTATGATTTCCCATTCACACACCTTTTTGAAAACGATGTAATTTAATAAAACTTCATTGTGTACAATTCTTTATATCATATATTACGGTAATGTATTATTCATTATGATAATTATTACTATACGTTATATATTAATTAATCAGAATCTCGTTTTTTATACATTCTGAAATTCTTTAAGTTTCTGTCGCTATTCCAAAAAAATCATTAAAACACAATGATCCCAAAAATCTTGAGAAAAAAATATGTGCATCGGGAAAATATTCTGAGCATGGGAACTAATTAATTCCTTTTGATCTTTATATAGTAGATCAAATATACGCATCATGAAAATCCATCTGTTCCTGATAATCGGAGTTACATAAATAATAACGATAAATCAAGCTAACATATACGTATATAATGCGATAAATCCAACAATATCCTTTTTTTTCCACATTCTTTTTTTTGTTTTTCATTTTTAAAAAAGAATGTCTAATTCATATGGATTACTCGATGAACGCCAAAGTGTACGAACGAGATCCGGAAGATTCTCGTTTACTACTATCATGATTTTAACTTTGGTTGTAATGATATTTATGTTCATTCTTAGTAATTTTGAAAATATCTGTAAGTACCATTTTCAAATTATAATAATAAATAATAAGGTTCATTCTTTTAATTTATTATTTTCTTTATTACAATAAAAGTTGGTAATGACAATTTTATACTTACTACGGACTCGAATCTGATTATTGCAAAGTATGGTGCTGTCGCATCTGAAATAGTAAATTGTTCACAATATGGCGTTGACGGTTAGTATACAAATTTTTTGTAGTAATTCTAGACTAGATTACAGTATTTAAAATTTTGACTTTATATATGTTTTTTTTTAAAGTCTTGAAAGAAGGAGGAAATGCTATTGATGCTGCAATAACTAGCATGATATGTGTTGGTGCTATTAACTCATTTGCTTCTGGAATTGGAGGGTATTTGAACTATTAAAAATTTATATTTGGTAGTTTTTATTTTTTGTCAATGTTATTTTTATTAACGCATATTATTGTAATTAAAGTGGCGGATTCATGGTAATTAGGTCTCCAAATGGACATTCTGAAGTAATCGACTTCCGAGAAACTGCTCCACTTGCTGCTAAAAAAGATATGTTTGTGGACAAACAAATCTTTGCTTCTATCGGTGGATTGAGTATCGGTGTCCCGTAATATTCTGTTTATTTAAATGTCCTTGAATTGAATTGTTACAAAAAAATTGATGATATTGTTTGATCTTCAAAGTGGTGAAGTCGCAGGAATGAAACTTGCACACAAAAAGTAAGGAGTTTTTTGAATAAAAAGTGAAAATTAAATTATTAAATTATTATTATTATTTAGGTACGGCAGACTACCATGGAAACGCCTTTTTGAGCCTTCAATTAATATGTGCCGCAAGGGGTTTCCCGTGCCTCCAGAACTAGGACTTCGATTACAGGTACGTAGATAAGGTTTTTTTTTTTAGTATTTTACGTTAAAAACTAATCCTTTTTTTTTAAATAGCGTTATCGTGGAATAGTCGTAAATAATCCACAATTATCCGAAATGTATGCACCAAATGGCAATGTATTAAAGGAAGGTCAAATTCTTTATCGAACTAAATTTGCAGATACTTTGGAAACTATCGCTAACAATCACACTGAATTTTACAGAGTACATATAAACTTCATTTTACAATTCTTTGAAATACTGTATTTAATATTTCTATTAATCTCTTATATGATGTGTATTGTCATTATGATTATTTTTGTTGTATTTACAAAGGGCTCAATTGCAAAATCAATAATAAAAAGAGTCAAGGCTACTGGTGGTATAATGACTCTAGAGGATTTAGAAAATTATCGTCCCATTGTTCGTAAGCCTCTAGTTGGGTTTTATCATGGTCGAAAGGTACAAGTAATTTAATAATGGGTGCTTTATAATTTTAGTGCGGTTAGTTATATTTCTTGTTCACCATGTAAAAGGTCTTGACAACGCCAGAACCATCAAGTGGTGCCGTATTAATATTCTTACTGAACCTTTTGGAAAAATATGATTTAAAAAATAGTAAAATTAACGGTCTTAATTTACATAGGTATTTATTATTATTGTTTATAAATATTTTAATTAGAGGTATAATATTCTGGGTTAATAAGAATCTCATTTGCTTTACATTTTAGAATTATTGAATCATTGAAATGTAAGTACTTTTGACATTTTTTTATCGATTTATTTTAAAAAAAAATTATTGTAGCAACGTTCATGTAATTTTAATATAGTCGGTTTTGCGAGACAGACTGAACTGGGTGATGCGGCATTTGTAAATACTTGATCATACAATATTTCGTTATTCACATATAAAATCAATCACTAATACTTTTATTCGTTTTATTTTATTTGTTTTGTTATTCAAAATTAAAAATAAATTTAATAGTTAGAGAATAAAACAAAACATGAATTAAGAATAGCGGAAATTATTTCCAAAGAATACGCAGATTTAGTGCGACGTAACATATCTGATGTATGTATGAACAAATTCTTGATTTTGATTGGTTACTCATAGCAGATCATTTATCTTGATTGATCGACCATCAAAGTTAGATTGCCATCTTCGAAACTTTAATAGATTTTGTTTTCTTAATATAAGCTTAAACATTTTAATAATGTTACTATCCATTTAACTTAATAGAATGAACCATTCGAACCTGAACAATATAATCCAGTATTTGAGCCTGTAAATGATTATGGAACATCACATTTGTCTGTCATTGATGCGGATGATATGGCAGTCTCCGTTACCTCTTCGGTAATTAATTTAATCCTAAATTTGGATCATAATGTTTTGAAGTTTTAAATTTTATATTCAATTTGTCAAAAAATAGATTAACCAGTTTTGGGGATCACAAGTGGTAGATCCCGATACAGAAATTCTGCTTAATGATCATATGGATGATTTTTCAGTACCTGGTACACCAGATAAGTCTGGATTGCTAACATATCCTTACAATTTTATTGGTAATTATTATTATTTTATATAATTATGGTATATTTGTAATATTATTAGTATAAAGTATTTGATTTGCTTTTTATTTTATTAAAAAAGCACCTGGCAAAAGACCACTTTCATCAATGATTCCAACAATTATTGAAAAAGACGAAAAATTAGAGCTGGTTATTGGTGGAAGTGGGGCGAAGAAAATTATTTCATCTGTATTAGAGGTATTCATTTAAAACAGAAAATGGGGTTGAGTCAATAGAAATCAAGCAAATTTTTTCTAAGTAAATTTTTTTTAAACTTTAAACAACAATAACTCA